TCAGGAAAAAACCTGATCGGCACATCTCTAATTTAGGTGACATTACACAAAATGTCTTTTTTTGGTTATTTGTATAGTTACTTGTAATGTTCCTTACCTGACTGAAACACCTCTAAAAAAAACTGTCATTGTTTTAACCGTGTTACTTTAAGATCGGAAGCCCCTCGTTTTTATTTCTTCTTCTGTGGTATTGTCTTTAAATTGTTTGCGCCCTTAGACTCTCCCCTTTTGTCTTGTTGTCCTGCCTGAGAGGTATGTGCTGTTTATTTTTCATCTAAATACATCCAGTTTATTTATAGATTTATTAACTTAAGTTTTGTCATGTACTTTTGTTTTGTATAGGACTTGGAGCGGGCGGCCTATAACACGGTTGTTTTCTATATGTTGTTCTCATCATAATAAATTGAGAAATCATCCTTTTTAAAGTCAAACCGTGTCACAGCCTGATCACTCAATAAAACCAGCACAACGCAGAAAGGATCCGGTTACATTTGGAGAGCTGATGCTTACTAAGATCCTAGAGATGAGAATCTGTTGGTTGCAGTGAGAAATGAAGAACAGAAAAACAAACTGATGAGCAGCCAGAGTATTTGTAAAACAAAAAAAAAAAGATTACTGAGATAAAGATTTTGGGAGAGGATGAAGTGGTGTGAGGGTGATCACAGGTATTCCAGTGATCACCCTCACAGGTGTGAAGGCCAATAGCGCAACATCCAACTTATGTAAAATAATGGAGAGAATGATAAGTGGAAGATTAACATATTATATGAAAACTAAGAGACTTGTATCGTCTTATCAGAGTGGCTTCGGGAGAGGGAGAAGTTCAATGGATCCAGTTTTACGTTTAGAGCAGGTGTAACATAGTTAATGTATAGAATTCCACTTGTCATTACTTCCCAGTTCGGGTTCATGTGTAATGGGTGAAACAGCACCCCCTCCTGGTGGGTGGCAGTGCTAAATATAGTGAACACAGACATCTCGTTGCCAGTTCTTGAGAGATGGGCGCGAGGCAGGTTCCGGTAAAACGTTGTTAGCTTGTTGCTAACATGAAATGCTGCTCCTCGTAAGGTTCTGAACCCGCTGTGATGAACCTGATTTCTGATCAGTCCATATTCTGTTCCGCACAGATAAACGACGTTTCATCTCATCCTGCCTCTTGGCCTTTAGTCACACAACGCAGAACTGATTCATACTGAACGATCACGAAAGCTCTTCTTAAAACTCATCTATTTAACTTGGCTTTCAACTCCGGCGGGATCTAGTTTTAAATTGTATGTTGGTTTGTTTGTTTTTAAACTGTAAGAGTTTTTATTTTTTTATTTTTTATTGTTATGTTGTGTTTTAATGTACAGCACTTTGTATCAGCTGTGGTTGTTTTAAAGTGCTTTGTAAATAAAGTTGGTATGGTATGATTATCGAGGTTACACATGAAATTAGAAAGGCTCAGGGGAATAAAGAGAGAGTTGTAGTTTTTAATATTGAGAGAGATATGATGTGGAGGGAAGGGTTATTAATCAAAATTAGAAGAATGGGTGTAAATGGTTGTATGTTTAGATGGATTAAAAACTTTATAGAATTTTGGGTATAATTAAACAAAAATTGAAAGAGAGGTGGCAAAAGTTATGGGTAGAAGAAAAGAAAGGACAGTGGTTTCATAAAATCCAAAAGAGAATTGGACAAATGAGAAGAACAAAAAGAAACAGGAGAGAATAGATAATTTTTCACAACTTGGAATCAGACACACAGCGGTGAGTAGCTCATTATTTCTGATAGGGAAACATCAGAGTGGGAAACCAGACAGTGGAACATGTTATCTTGCATTGCAGGAATTACTGGATTCAGAGAAACAAGTTAATTAGGTACCTTGGTAATAAATGAAATTTGACATTGTTGATTTACTGCAAAATGATTCAGGAAGCAGAGGATATCAGGCTATATTAGATTTTTTAAAACAGTGTAAGTTGTATAATAGGATATAGTTTTTTTTTTCTTTGTTTTATTATGTCATGTGGTCCACTCTCCTTACCGGTTGGTGGCGGTAATGCTCACCTATCGTTTCTTGCCAACCGCCAATAAATTTCAAGAAGAAGAAGAAGAAGAAGAAGACGACGACCTCTACGACTGCCGTTCAGTTGCAGTTACTGGTCAGATATGGCGGCGTGTGAGACGTTAATCCGCTGTCATCCTCCTTCTGCGGTTCTAAATCTGAACTTTGTAACGACCTGACTTGTTTGCAGGAAGGTGAGTTTTGTTCCTGACCGGTTTTGTTCAGTGGATGTTATTTGAAATCCGGAGTTTCTAAAGCATGTTCAGCAACGTGTTGCTTCTCGTCTTCTGTAAAGATGGCGCCGTTCTCAGCGGTAAACAGATGGCTTTTAAACGCCATTTACTGATGTTTTTCAGTGACTTTGCTGCAGCCGTTTCCAGCGAGGCTGAGCCTGCCGTGGTTCTGTCCTTTCCTACACGGTTTGCTACAGAGAAGTGAGGCAGTTTGAGGCCCTACTGCGGCTTTTCCCGGCAGGGTTTTAGGTAAGCCTCCAACAGAAATAATTTGTTCTTATCATAAACATTTTATATGTTCTGTTGTCGGTGGGTCAGAACCACATGGAGGCGAGAGTCTTTCTCCTGTCTGGGTTCAAACTCACTCAGAACCGTCAGTGTAGTTCTGCTGATGACCAGCAGGGGGCGCATTTCGCCACTTCTCTGAAGTTTGGAGTTTTCCTGTTGAGCTGTAGCTTTTACGGTTATGTTGATCAAACAGGTTTTCCGGCCTGAGAGGAAAGTTCTGATTTAGTTTTTTATATTTCAGATCCGAGAAAAGATGTTGAACCAGTCAGAGCTCTTATAAAACTAATTTATTGTCAGGATGGGCTGAAAATATGGAAATCTGAGTTGAAGGTGCAGCATAATAATTGGCATCAGATATATATACATTTTATACATTTTCCTCCCTTATGTATAATTAAATCTGATGAATGTAAAAGTCAGAGAAAACGGGATTGGCTGAAAAGTACTTTTTCATTCTTTACATTTCTATGACTATTTTTCACTATTTAATGTTTCTTTATTTCTCTAGCTAAATTCAGCTGGCAAACTGAAATGTATTCTGTTGAACTCAGGTGATTCTGTCGGACTGTGTTGGACTCGGCTGAGATGATGGAGGATGAACTGGTAAGGCTCTTCCTTCATGCAGCTGCTGTGGTTCTGTCCTGTGCTGCGGCGCCACCTGCAGGCTGATTGGCGTTTCTGCAGGAGGAGCTTCTTTCTGATTGGTCGGCTGCTCTGGCAGCGGTTGATCGGGTCTGGTTGACTTCCTGCTGAAACATCAGGCCTGATCCAACGATCTGGATAAATACAGTATAAATAAAGTTTATATGTAAATCTAATGTAATAGATGTTTGTGGACAAATCTGCATTAAACTGATCATATGTATTTTAATATAAAGCTATAGAAGAATAATAAATGGTGGGAAATAAAACATAGCTGAAATGATGGATTTTTATGTTGAAAAACATGTTTGTACTCCTGTATTTTTACTTTATATATTTCTATTTGTGTTCATATATTTTCTAAGTTGTTTGAAATAAAGAATCTGAACTGAATGTTTTTGTTTTTTTTTCTTTCTATAAGTGTCTCTGTTGGGACGGGCAGCATGAAAGGGATTGTCACTATAAAATATTTATACCTTTTGCTTTTGTCTGCATGTAGAGATACAAACATGAATTCAGAGGTTAAATATTTTTATAGGCGTCATGATTTACATAACAGGGAATTTGTTAGGTTGCACATAGTTGCTGCATTGTCATTTTCCAAGTTAAATTTATAATAGAACAGTGATAAAACCCGAGTATGAAGATAGACATTTTAATAGATCAAAAATCAATAATTGATGCTGGGGTTGTTTAATAATTTGCCATTGGTTTTCTCTCTTTCTTAAATGTATTATCCATAACCAATCAGAACATTTTCAGTGGATAATGATCATGCTGTGCAGCAGCAGATAAACTTCAATAAATGTTTTAAAATCCAGAACCTGACTCTGTTTTCCATGTAACGCTGCTAATATCCACTGGGGGGCGTGTTAACATCGTTTGGAGGAACTTTTCCACAAAAGACTCATTTCCTGTTTGGCATTAATTTATTTACTTTAAACTAAAGAAGCTTCATCTTAATAAAGAGCCCCTCCCCCAAGCTGATTAAAAGCCACAGGAAGTGATGAAATACTGATGAGGTCAGCTGGCTGCAGCTGATTGGATACAGAAGAGACCATGTGACTTCCTGAAGACGACGGTTTCTAACAGCATGATGTTGGACACGTCCAGGTCCGTTAACCGATTAGCAGTTTGAGGTCATGGAGGTCATCTGCGCTAAGAAGCCCCGCCCCCTAGCTGGCGGCAGGAAGCAGCTGGATCATCCGGACTGGACCGGACCGGACCGTCCTCACAGGACTTCCCTTGGACTGGCTGGTTCCTGTAAACCGCCCTGTGAGGAGCGACGACCCGCTACAAGTTGCTCTCCGGGAAGGAGACTCTTTGGCGTGCGGTCCGGTTCCTGGTTCTGGTCGGGGCGCCGGCCGGGTGTTCGGGTTCTGACGGCCGGGTCTCGGCCTGCGGCGTTCCGGCGTCACCGACCAGTTCCCGCAGGAACTTGAACTTGGACAGGAAGAGCTGCCAGACGACGTACCAACCTGAGGACGAAGAGAGCGAACCGTGACTGAAAGACCCAATCCGTCCAGAACCAGAACCTTTAGTTCACCTCCTGACCTCAGCTGGACCCAATCTGATGCCCGGTACGGGACTAATCTGGGTCGGAACCGTTCCTGTTCATCAGCTTTTGAAGACATGAAGTATTCTGAATATTAACTAAAATCAGTGATGGACCAGGTTCTGGTTCTGGTTCTGTTGGAGTTTTCCTCTCTACTGTCGCCACACAGCAACAACTTGACAAATCAGAAACTTTTAACCCAGTGGTGCCCAGAGTGGGTCAGCAGGCCCGGCATCCTGGTTTTAGACCCCTGGATCCAATGAGTATGGACCTGCTGAACAGGTTGTCGGAACCAGAAACAGAACTAAAACGTGCAGAACGCCGGGCCTCCTGGACCCACTTTGGACACCCCTGTTTTAACCAAACAGAGAAACAACCAGAACCGTTTCAGAACCGGACCAGACCTTATTCTGAAAGGTCCAAACTCTCTTTCAGAATAAAGTTTTAATTTCATCTGGAGATCCAGAATGTGGAGAGTGACCTGGGTTATCTGCTGGTTCTGGTTCTGGTCCACTGGGTTTTGTCCTGATTATTGATCTGATCCAATATTCTGAGGTTCTGGACTTTTGGGTTGTATTCTCTGTGAACCAGAACCATCAGAGCCAAATAAATAACGTCTGAAACATTCCCTCTCTGCGTGACGAATCCGAGAAAAGATTTTCTAGTTTCTGGAGCGATTTCAGAACCAGAACCAGAACCAGGATCCGCTAACTGCTTTTGCTTCTTTTCTCATTTCAAGCTTTACGGATCAGAGAAGCGGGAGCAGCAGCCATGATGGTCAGCCTCCGGTCCGACATTTCTGCGGGGTTCGGGCTCGGTTCCGGGCGGTTCTGAGAGTGAGCTCACCGAACAGCATGAACAGCAGCACGCAGAGCAGCGTGGCCACGATGACCAGCAGGGTGAGGCCGAGGCTCTGCCACATGTCTGCGGGGGTTCGGCGCTCCGGCGGCGGCCCTCTCACTCAGCTGACCCCGGGCTGGAGCACCAGCAGCGGGTCATCTCACTCTCCACGCCGGCCTGTGGGTTCGTTAGCCCGCTGACTAGCTCAGCCGAGCCTCGCAGACGGTCTGGATCGGACCAGGAGGACCATGGGCGGACACGAACCGGTTCCGCTGGTCTCAGAAGGGCCAAGCTCCGCTGCTGGATCCCGAACTTTATTCAGCGGCACGGAGCAGAACTGTGACCCGGTTAGACAACACCACCAGCAGAGGTCAACTGAGGCTGCGCAGCTTCGCGCTGACTTCTGGGTACTGTAGTTACATCATTCTCCCTCATTCTATGGAGGACTAATCCTGCCATAATTACCATTTTAAAAAAGTGAGGAAATAACAAAATATCCATCCATTTTCTAACTCCCTTGTCCCTCAGTGGGGTCGGGAGGGTTGCTGGTGCCTCTCCAGCTAATGTTTCAGGCGAGAGGCGGGGTTCACTCTGGACAGGTTGCCAGTCTGTTGCAGGGCAACAGAGAGACAGACGGTGTGCACACACACACCTAGGGAGAATTTAGAGAGACCAATTAACCTGATAGTCATGTTTTTGGACTGTGGGAGGAAGCCGGAGTACCCGGAGAGAACCCACCATACACAGGAAGAACATGCAAACTCCATGCAGAAAGACCCTGGGCCAGGAATTGAACCGAGAACCTTCTTGCTGCAAGGCAACAGCTCTACCAACTGCACCACTGTGGAGCCCCCAATTACAATATATTTATTACCAAATTAATTAATTAATTTTCAATTATATTTCCCATTTTTGCTCATTATTCATTTAAAGTTTTACTTCTTGATTTATTTGTTTATTTGATGTCATTTTTATTTTCTAATGTTAATTTTCAAATTAATTAATTGCCATTTTTATTTCCTTGTTTTGTTAATTATTTAATCGCAGTTCCTTCTTTATTAGCAATTACTTTGGGTTTATTTCATATGTAATGACACGTAAATAAAAAAGAAAGGAAGAAAGGAGGGAAAGGTTGAAAAGGAAGGAAGAAGATAAGAGAACACGACAGAAAGAAGCACAGAGAGGATACAAGAACACACCTCAGAAGTCTGCTTTGACAGAAAAACAAAATAATATTTATCTGTCTGCTTATTTATTTATTTATTATCAATTCTGGCAGTATCAGTAGTCCATAGATTCCTGCCTTTGATAGTAAACAACTATTTTACGGATGGCCCCGCAGTGACGGCTAGAGGCTCCTGCTGGACTCGAACGGAGGTTCAGGACTGCAGCAGAAGCTTCATGGTGGTTTGACTGGGATCATAGAGAAGATTTAGTTTGTTATGACTATCGATCTGAAACTGATCCCATAAATCAGAGAAGAGTTTTCCATACAACAAACAGCCTGCCTGGTTCTTTCTCCTCCATGTTTGATCAGCAGTTTTAATATTTATCAGTATTCAGTTTCCAGCTGATTCATTTCACCAGACAGAAACTTTAAAGTTATTTTATGTAATATTCTTTTATCATTCCTGGAAGCCCTCAGAGATGTGTCCTTTCACCACTTTTATTTATTTATTTTGAAAAAATTTGAGCCTTTTTTCATTTTAAATCTGCTGGAACATGAATGTGATTTTATAATCTGAGGATTCAGTTCAGATGTTTTTGTTGTGAATCTTTTGTGATCAGTTGGGATCTGACCTGCGCCTCGTTCTGCTTCGTCACGTTGAGCGTTCCCATCGCTCACGTTTCAGCAACTGCTGCTGCACAATTTGCATATTGCAGTGAAATTCTGCTGCAGGCTGAATGTGAGTTGTGCAACCTGTTTACTGGAACTTGAACGCGGAACCAGTGTGAGTCTGGAACCAGATGCTTTGATTGGTTCTGATCGGAACACATTGATCTGATTGATCTGATGAATTTTCTCCTCCAGCTCAGCGAATCCCAACAACCTGCAGGAAACAGGAAGTTCCAGAGAAAAACTTGTTGATTCTGTTTCTCTGAAGATTTTCAGCAAAGACTCAATCAGATGAATCAACAGCAAGAATCACAGAAAAATGCAGAGAAACCGTTGTCATGGCTACCAATAATAAAACTACAGAAATTACAGAAAATCAAACATTATGAAGGGAATCCAGATACAAATTAGATTATACTGCAGTCTGCTACAGGATGTCCCCATTATTATTATTATTATTATTATTATTATTATTATTATTATTATTATTATTATTATTATTATTATTATTAATAATAATAATAATAATAATATTATTATTATTATTATTAATGATAATAATAATAATAATAATAATAATAATAATAATAATAATAATAATAATAATAATAATGCATTTTCAAACCTGCTTTCTAAATAAATATTTCATGAGCATATCTGAACATGTTTGTTTGTTTTGTGATTTTCTTCATGTTCAGTAGAAATAAACATTCTGGTGAAGAGAACTTTGAATGTTTCTGGTAGTTTTTGTGGCTCTAAACTGTTTTTTCCTCCGTTTTAAGGCGGCGGCCCCCCCAGACAGGGAGGGGCCCCCCGGACGCCCCGCGGAGCTTTCTGTGGCTCCGCCCCTGCGTCACGTGACCTCCGCCTGTTGCTGCGCAGCGCAGAAGAAGAGCGGCTCTTCTTCCGCGTTCCTCCCAGATCCGACAGAGACGCGGACCTGGAGGGACAGACACACCTGAGGAGCAGGTGAGCTGGAGGCGGCGGGTTCGGCCCGGTTCGGTTCGGTACCGAGACTTTCTATCCGCTTTCTGTCCGGAACTGGACCGGAACCTTTACTGCTGGCAGCTTGTGAGACTTTTAGATCCAGAAACTCCTCAGAAAGTTAAAGTGGAGTCATGAATGAGCAGGAAAAATGATAATTAATGTTAATTATAATTATTAAAGCATTAACAGCAGTCCCTTTATTTAACCAGTTAAACCCCGTTGACATCTAGATCCCATTTTCGAAAGGGGCAGAAGTCTGAAATACACAGAAACCTGGTTACAAAATAAAACTAATTAATACATATGCACAAATGTAAAACAATAGAAAACAATTTAAAAACAGTGACACTGTTTAATAGCATCTCATTGCCTAAGTTAAAACATTAAAGGAGTTTTTCTCTTTTCTAAATGTGTGAAACCTTTTAGTTCATCAGGAAATGAACAAACATCAGAATAAAGATTAAAACTGAGTTTAATTATTTAACATTAATTATAATTAAACTCATTATTAATATTGATAATTATTTTATTCTTCAGTGTTCTCTGTAATCTCTGATCAGATTATAATCTCAGATTATAATCAGTAATAACTGAAAATAAAATGTGACAGACGTTTTGCTTTCTGCAGATTGACCTCTGACCCCTGACCTCTGACCCTGACCAGCTGTTTTCCGGCAGGTCGGCCATGATGGTTCTGATATGAAAGCCGATGCGGGTCCAGTTTCAGCTGCCGAGCCGTGGAGCAGAACCACCGCCACGCAGCCGGACGAGGGGACGATGACCTCTGACCCCCAGCTGGACTTCTTCCATAAGCTGGGCTTCTCCACGGCTCAGGTCCGGGCCGTCCAGAGGAAGTTCGGCGACGACACCGACAAGGTTCTGGGAGAGCTGGTCCGGGTCGGAGCCGGCCCACGGACCGCCGTGTCGGTCCTGGTGCCGCGAGGCGACGCCGAGGCCCCGGGCCCCGAGCTGCTGGTCCCCGTCCCCGACCCGCCGACCCGGAACCAGAACCGGGACATGGAGGACCGAGACGCCCTGAGGGCCGTGGTGATCGACGGCAGCAACGTTGCCATGAGGTGAGAGCCAGGAGGTCAGAGGTCAGGTAGTTCACTCTGTAGGTCATTAGTACTGAATGAATGAATGAACTTCATTCATTCGTTCATTCGTCTCCTCGTTCTTCATCTTCATGAAAATCAGAAACTTTTCCTCCTTCAATCAAAATATGAAGATTTTGATTGGTTAAACAGAACCAAAGAGTTCTGGTTCTGACCCGGTTCTGGTTCTGGTTCTGGCTGCTTTTATTAATAAGTCAAAAGGTTCTGGAGGAAACTTCCAGAACCCTTAAACATTTACACGCCCTGCAGCTCCAAACTCACTAGTAGGAATCTGAAAAGTGTGGCCTGCAGCTGCATTTAGCCCCTCTGTGGCTGCAGGTTTGAGTTCTCTGACTTTGACTAGGCAGTTCTAAGACCTAAATATGCTCCTATCTAACCGGGCCCAGCGGCTCTGATCCGATCCGATTCAAACCGGCTGGAAAACCTGACCTGAGCCAAACGTTTTACTGAAAACAGAGTTTATTTTTAAATCCGTTTCATTCAGCAAATTTATTTTCATAATTCCAATTTAGAGACTTTATGGAAAGAAGCAGCAGCTGTAAACTGAAAACCAGAGGCAGAGCGATTTCCTCCTGAACTTCATGATGAGGTTCTGTTGAGGTTCTGATGAGGTTCTGATGAGGTTCTGATGAGGTTCTGATGAGGTTCTGATGAGGTTCTGGATCTCCTGAACTTTGCAGCATCACAGAGAGAAACTGTGGCAGTTGGTGAGAACGTATCTACAGAACGGTGTGAAGTTTTCACTGCAGACGCTGAACCAGAACCAGAACCAGGTCTGAACCTGATCTGGACCTGACCTGAACCAGAATTAGATCTTGTTCAGATCAGGTTCATTTCTGGTTCTGGTTCTGGTCTGCAGCCCGTCTGGTTTGGACCTGGGTTGTTTCCAGAGGTTTCCTGATGAGTCAGAGAGCCAATCAGCCGCCTGGAGGCTGCAGGTCAGAGGTCATCGGCTTCGTTTTAAAAGCTCCAGCTCTCCGTAGAAAGCCGGGCTTCTTAAAGAGACGGTAACCTGAACTCTGCTCAGCCTCGGCGCTTTGAATCTGCGCCTCTCCATGCAGGCTCTGACACGCCGCGGCTTCTTCTGTTTTATGCAAATCTGATGTGTCTGTTCGGAGCGCGGCAGGAACCGGCCCGGCGGCCTCCTCAGAAGGCCCGGCCCAACGCCCGCCCATCGGGCCCATCGGGACGTTTCCCAGCGACCGGCTGACAGGAGGAGACGGAGACGATTCTCCTGAAACGGCTCTTTATCTCACCGGGTTCAGAAACGATCAGCCTGAGGGAGGAATGAGACGAACCGCCGAGTTCCTGCTTCAAACATCCAAACCATCTAATGGCTGATCACTAGAATAAGAAGCAGATCACTTCGTTACATAAACTGGTCCAGTTTCTGTGGCGTTCCTCAGGGCTGAGGCTCCACTACCTTTACTTTTATCCTTTACTCTGATTATTCTGCTCATAAATCCAGTATCTGTGTTTTTAAAGTATTTAGATTATTTTATTTTTTAAATATTCCTGTTTGACTCATGTAAACTGGACCTGCTCAGCATGGACTGAAAACAGCGATTATTGATTATTGATCAGGGCTGAAAATCACATTTGATCCTCAGCTTGTTATTGTAATAATAAGTTATCGTTTCGTTCCTGTTTGTATTCAACCATGAAGCAGTGAAACAATGTTAATAATCAATATTGATATATTGATAACCTGGAGTTGTCCTGTCTGCATTAATCTGCTTTTATTGAAGATGTTTGATGAAAAAACCCTCCAGCGTACGGAGCTCTAATAGTGTCCAACATTCATGCACAAAGCTTTGCTTCAGTTTTTTGCTTTTTCTCTGCTGTGATCCATGACTTGGTCTGGTCCAGTCTGTTCTGATCCGGTCCAGTCTGCTCTGGTCTGGTCCAGTCAGGCTGGTTCTGATGCTTCAGGCTGAATGAATCCTGGATGTTGGGCTTCATGAAAAGCTCTAGACTCTTTTCCGAATTTCTGCTCGTCACAAACGGCGCTGACCTTTGTGACCTTTGAGGGTTGGGAGCGTTTAGCTCTGCTTTGCATAAATCTAAACATGAAGCTGTTTGTTTTGGAGGCAGAAAGAAACGATTTGATGAACCAGATTACTTCCTCTGGAGTTCACTCAGGTCTGGTTTCATTCATTTCACTCAATTATTGGTGATTTTTGAAACTGTAGTTTGTTTTACACAGATTTAGCAGCAGAAGAATCCGGTCCGCCGGTCCAGTTCATTACTTCCACCTCACCAGGTCGACTTATTGTAGTAATCAATTATTCTGATGATCAGAATAAAAATGGGCAAATTGAGCAGATGTTTCATTTAAAACATGCTTTAAAAAAGCATATTTTATAAACTATTAGAAATGTTTGGAAATGCAAAGAAATAGCACAATTAGCTTTTGATTTATGAGAAAATGAACATTTTAAAAGGCAATAAGAGCCTTGGTGAACGTTTGAATATTTATACGATGAAAGGATGAAAAATCTAACATGATAAAACCTCAGCTGATCAACACAGTGTATGATCAAATTATTGATTAACTGATTAATAACTGGAAGGTGATTAATAGGAGATAAAACTAAAACTGAAAAACAGATTTAAGGTGAAAAAGTTTTAATTTAAAATCAAAATGTTTGATTTGTTTCAGTAAACAGTCTGAAAACATTGATCGATCGATTATTGAATTAGTCATCGATTAATCATTTCAGCCTTAGTCCACACACACACACGTTTGTGTTGCTATCTTTGTGGGGACTTTCCATTGACTTCCATTCATTTCTACAGCCTAAACCTGACCTTTACCCTTTTCCTAACCCTAACCATAACATACCTAACCCTAACCAACCAAAACTCAATTCATACCTTAGCCCTAACTCTGACCCCTGACCCAAAAACAGGGTTTCCCCTCGTGGGGACCAGGCTCCGGTCCCCACAAGGAGCAATTGGTCCCCACAACGTAGTATATGTCAGGAAAATCATCCCCACAAGGTATTACACACACACACACACACACACACACACACACACACACACAGAGTCTACAGAGGTGCAATGGGTGCTGATCAACAATCAGGTAATAAATCAATATTTTTATTGCTCATCGGTTCAAAGCTGAACCTCAGCAGGACGAGTCGCTGATCCATCATTACATGCTACGGTCTAGTTAAAGCCCGTCAGACAGGCTGCGGAGATTAATGGAGCAATATCCAGAACCCAAAACAGAATGAACCTGAACAACCAGAACCAGAACCAACCTGCAGTCCAAACATCAACCCTGATTTCTGATTGGCTAACCGTCACCATAAGAAGAGTCTAGTCCAATCACGTCCAACTTTAAGCCCTGCCTGTTTCTACTGTCAAGATTCAAAACATGAAAATCTGATTACATTCTTACTTTAATATGAAATCATTCAAATGAACAATAAACATATAGTTAATTAACTATTGAGATAAATGTTGGCATTTAGGGGCGGGGCTAACTCTGCTGCAGGTGGAGCTCGACCAATCAGATTCAACTCAAAGTATGGAGCCACTTAAATACTAAAACATCTGATGTCAACATGAAGAGGAAGTTAAATTAATTTACTGATGGATACATTTATTTACGGATGTGTTTCATCGGTTATTGAAAATGTGATTATTTCTGATTGAGTTCATTGAGTTAAGTTCAAATCGGGCCGACTCTGGGTCCAGGGTGTTCTGGTCCAGGAATGTTCTGGTTCTGGTCCAGGCTCTGAGTTCTGGAGACTCGTAGAACCAACATGCTGGGCTGCAAACACCGGGCTCTTTGTTCTGAACCGGCTCTTTTCCTGGTTTCCTGTAGCCATGGCAACAAGGAAGTTTTCTCCTGCCTGGGGATCCAGCTGGCCGTCAACTTCTTCCTGGACCGGGGCCACAGCGACGTCACCGTGTTCGTCCCGTCCTGGAGGAAGGAGCAGCCCAGACCGGACGTCCCCATCACAGGTAGGAGGACTCCAGGTGTGGCTCAGGGCTGCGGGGGGCCGCTGCAGGGCCCGGCGCGGCGCGGGGGGCCGCTGCCGGTGGAACCTGCTCCGCTCAGTAAACAGCTTCCAACACAGAACGACTGCTGCAAAACACGGGACGGAGCTTCTGGATCAGAACCAGTTTGAAAAGTAAAACTTCCGTCTCCAGAACCAGAGCTGATGAATCATGTCCAGAATAAGGAACACTTCCTCTGCTCTGCTAATTCGCGAATAGCTGAGCTAATTATTAGCTTAGCATGTCTGCTAACTTTGCTAATATTTAACACACCAAACTTCCGCTAATTGAATTTTTCCAGATGAATTCTGAAGTATTTTCTTGGCTGTTTTATAAACTTTCAGTTGAACAAAGTTCAACATCTGTGTTCAAGTTTTGATTTTTGACTCCAACTAGTTAGACTTTTGTTTTCATGCTCTTATTCTGAAGTCTGTTTAAGATGTGGTTCTGTTTCCTCTCTCCAGAAATTTCATTTAAAAAATGACAAATATACAACAAACAAATAAATAATGTATATGTAATGATCAGAACTGAGGACCCGAAATTTCAGTCAGACACAAAGTACAAAATAATAAGTTCTTTATTGAAGTTCGGGGTAAGGGACAGGCAGCCACCAGCAAAGGAACAGGAACCTCTGAGGACAGAGAGGAAGGTTAGAGGGTTGTATACTTGGGGAAGAGGCCAAGCTGAACAGAAAAGAACCACTAACCTACCTAGCGTTTGTGGAGGATGGGTGGTCCAGGTAGCACAAAGGCTGGCAACCAGTGGCAGCTCCAGGGAGGGACGGAGCTAGGAGCAGGCAGGACAGAGTAAAACTAGACTGAGGGTCAGGCAGAGAGCGGTGGTCAGGGCACAGAAAAAGGGTCCAGCACGTTCAGGCAACTTCTAGCAGACAAAATCCAAAGGGCGAGGCAGGAGACAGAGGTCAGAGGACAGAAACAGGGTCGCGTCCAGAAAACAGAAGCCAGTGGAGAATCCGACGAGGGCTAGACAAGGCAGGCAAATCCGAGGGGCAGAAAAGTGTTCAGAACGGGGTCAGGTCAGGAAGAAATGCTGGATATCTACTCACTCTGAGGCTTTCAAAAATCTGGCACCGTCTGCCTGCCTGAGAGCTGAATATAACTGCTGTGCACAGGTGGGAAACATGAGCCTGATTGCACTCAGCATGCAGGTGAACCAGATGAGCTTGATGAGAGGTGGGAACTGCGGGGACAAACATAGCAGGCAGACGGGCCAGAAACATGACAGTACCCCCCTCCTAAGGTCCGGCTCCTGACGGACCCTTCGGCTGATCAGGATGGAGGCGGTGAAAGTCCCTCAGGAGAGTCTTGTCAATGACAAAACGACCAGGAATCCAGGTCCGCTCCTCCGGTCCATAACCCTCCCAATCGACCAGGTAATGGACGCCACGTCCCCTTCTCTTGGACCGGAGGATGCGACGTACGGTGTAGATTGGATCCCCATCCAGGAACCGAGTGGGCGGGAGGGGTCTGGAGGCAGGCTCAAGACGAGGTGAGGTGTAGGGCTTGACCCGAGACACATGGAATGTAGGGTGAATCCTCATAGAACGGGGCAGCTGTAGGCGGACCGCCACAGGATTCACAACCTTGGAGATGGGGAAGGGACCAATGAAACGAGGTGCCAATTTCCGACTCTCCACCCGTAGGGGGAGATCCTTGGAAGACAACCAGACCTTCTGGCCAACACGGTAGGTGGGTGCTGGGACTCTGTGGCGATTAGCAGATCTGGATTGCACCTCCGACATCTTGGTCATGGCCCTCCGAGCTCTCCTCCAGATCCGTTGGCACCTCGTGGCTGCAGCGTGAGCGGAGGGGACCTTAGCCTCCCTCTCTTGAATAGTGAACACCGGTGGCTGGAACCCATGAACAATGTAGAAGGGCGAAAGACCAGTGGAGCTAGAGGGGAGAGCATTCAAGGCATATTCCACCCATGGTAGGTTGTGTGCCCACCTGGTAGGATCAGTGTCACAAAGGATACGAAGCTTGGTCTCAATCTCCTGGTTAGCCCTCTCAGTCTGCCCATCAGTTTGGGGGTGGAACCCAGATGATAAACTGACGGATATCCCAAGCATGGTGCAGAACTCCTTCCAGAACCGAGAGACGAATTGGGGACCTCTGTCCGAGACTATGTCAGTGGGGAGCCCGTGGAGGCGGAAAACCTCCCGTGCCATGATCTCCCCCATCTCCTTAGCAGAGGGGAGTCTCTTGAGGGGGGCCAGGTGGACCATCTTAGAAAATCTGTCAATGATAGTTAACAAGACAACAAAACCATCGGAACTGGGCAAACCTGTGACGAAGTCCATGGCAATGTGCGACCAAGGGCGTGATGGGATGGGAAGGGGTCGTAGCAACCCTGAGGGTGGGCGACGAGAGGACTTTGCTTGACAGCACTGATGACAGGCTGTAACAAACTCCTTAACATCCTTGGTCATTGAGCCCCACCAGAATTGGGACTGAACAATTTGTAAGGTCTTGCTAATGCCTGGATGACAGAACAGACGGGATTTATGGCAGAACCGGAGTACCTTGGGGACCAGATGTTCTGGGACAAACAGCCTGTCAGGGGGGCACGAGGCTGGGACCCGGAGATCTCGGGTGGCGTCCCTGACCTCCTCCTCCAGTTCCAACATGGTCACAGTCAGTCTCACCGAGTCTGGGAGAATAAACTCCTCTGCACCCGCAGCCCCCACCTCAGAGGATTCATGAATCCTTGATAAGGCATCCGGTTTTATGTTCTTGGTTCCAGGTCTGTAAGAGAGCGCAAAATTAAACCGTCCAAAAAACAGAGCCCACCTTGCTTGTCTGGGGTTGAGTCGTTTTGCTGCCTTCAAGTACTCCAGGTTCTTGTGGTCTGTCCATACTAGAAATGGCTCCTTGGCCCCCTCCAGCCAATGCCTCCATTCCTCTAGGGCCAGCTTAACAGCCAAAAGTTCCCTGTCCCCCACATCATAGTTCCGTTCAGCACTGGATAGAGTCCTGGAAAAGAAGGCACACGGATGAATACGACCATCAGTGGTTCTCTGACTGAGGACAGCACCTACCCCAGTGCTAGAGGCGTCAACCTCTACAATGAACTGTCTTGCAGGGTCAGGGGACCGGAGAACTGGAGCGGAGGTGAACAGAGACTTGAGTCTAGAGAAAGCCTCCTCTGCCTGCCTGCTCCAGGTGAACCGAACCTTGGATGAGGTGATGGCATGAAGAGGAGATGCTACTTGGCTATAACTACGGATGAAACGACGGTAAAAGTTAGCAAATCCAAGAAATCTCTGTAGCTGTTTGCGGTCTGTGGGTGTGGGCCATTCGGAGAC